GCTCAACTGCTTTGCGAAACGGCATTCTGGCGTTTCCACCCACATCCGTTCAAGCAACTCCTCTACTTTCTACCAGCTCCCGCCTCTGTTCGAGGAAGAGAATATGAACACCCCATGGAGAGAATATTGCAAATCCATTACTGGCGTGACTTTTAAACTGTTTGCCAATGTCTGAGCCATGGTGTTTCATGATGAAGAATTGCCTAAAATCAGCAATGAACCTTTACTCAAACACACCAACTAATATTTGGCTCAGCTCTCACTCGCAGGGAGTGTATGCTTACTTCAAAGGATGAGGGGGGGATTTCTGATCAATTGGATTGAATCACTTTGATCTTCATGTTCTCGTGCCACAAATGGGATATATACAATCTACTGTGATATCAATTTATGCTCCCTAAAGTCGCTGAGGTATGTACATACATGTTTGTCTTTGCAATGGCCGTGGGGATAGACCATCGTGCTCCAATCACGTCAAAAAACCCAATTAGTCTTTTGAAACGTATGTATGTATCTATTGTTTTATGACGAACAAAGACAACAGGAATTTTGAGGAAATAAAGAAAATAGGTAGCCTTACCTTCTTCGCTGCGTACTTCACCAGATTTCACTGCCCAGATCATGCAAAAACCATGCTTGCTAAAAATTCTCTCTAGGCTCATGGAAGTCAAACAACTCCTTCCTGTGCTGTGTTTTACTCAAAGAGAGTGAGCCAGGAAAATAGGAATATGAACTAGATGCTTGTGCTGAAGCTCTGACCACATGGACAAATGTGATTCACTTAAGCTCAGAAATTTATTTCACATATCTCATCCCACTGTATTAATTAATTAGCATTCCTCTGGGAACCAATGGACAGAACCATCATTGTTTTGCTGATATACTTCTGATGTGATCTTCCCATTTGCAGGGCAGGGTCTACTCATTGCTTTAACATTATATATGAGTATGTCATATAATGTAAAAGAACAGAGCCCATTAACAAAAGTAATAAAGAGTTAGCTCTCCAAAGCCCACATATGTATTAATTAACATGGGTTAAATTTAAAGATTTCATATACTACTAGTAACCCTCGACAACCTACTTTTTATAAGATCCCAATTTTCACGGAGCAACAAGAATAACTGAACTTTGGTCCCAATTGAGTAGATAATTAATACCCATTTACCACATCAGGAAACCCAGGAATGAAAATGTTCTTAGCTGCTCACACATCCTGTCATCCAAACTTGCATGCGAGAACATGAAAAGAGCAGAGGTAAATGGTACCCTACCCCTACATCAAAATCAACAGAAAACGATTTTCAAATCCTGGCATTTAAGACCAAAAAAGATTCGGGTTCACTTACGTATTTCAGATGTTTCAATTATGACCCCTGTTGCAGAGAACTGTCAGTTTATCAACCTCATCAAAATGTTGTCAACACTTTACGTTGCAGAGCAAAATATATGACATTTGACAA